CACTCTTTCAGGCGTCTCAAACATACACTCCAAATTTACAACACCAGGGTGATGAAGGTTCTATTAAAGATAAATAAAGCACTTGAAGAAAATGAGTTTTTTGATACTGTTTGGCAAGCTCACTGATTATACAAAACTGTTCACGTTTAAAGCTATGGAGAAACGCACACTTAAGATTTTTAACACCTCTAAATTCCACATGTGCTGCCTTATATTTTTGAAATTCTAATGTCTCCAAAAAATACATCTTTACTTTCTGTGCATAGTGAAATTTTTTTTTTCTATGCTACAAATCCAAGTTCCAGCACAGTGAATTGCTAATTAGGTTTTAATTAGAATACCATACTGAGAAGTCTGTAATTTCTTAGGATCATCTCCAATATTAAGCATACTGTCCTAAATAAGTTTACTAGGCCATCTCTACACACTTCGTAGAAATTTAAGGTAGACAAGATGAAGTATGTTCACGGAGTGCATCTGACTGCACTGATGAAGCACATTAGTCAAAACCTTTTGCCACCGCTCTGCTCTTGGAGGCTGCTCTAGTTTGCTACAGAAGCTCTTACACAGAGTAAAGACCCCCATGAAAACAGAAAAGAAATGATTATTGAGCCCTGTTTTGTTCAGGACACCATGCCATGTGGTAGTGCTGCATGGTTCTCAAGCACTCAATAAATATTTCCACAATAAAGTAATGGCCAATAATGACAGGCTGAGTTTGGCTTGACAGGTTGTCACACATGTCAAGTAAAGTTACTTTTAACATTAGATGGGCCCTTGTAATGATGCTTAAGTCTGAATGCTGGTCTGGGGTCATCAACAAAAGCCTTTGATCATTTGACTTTTAATATTTTTTTTCTGCACGTGACAACAAAAAATCCTAACATTAAGAGAACTATTACATATTCCACTTATATTTCAATGAAAAATGGGGGAAAAAATCATCACGAATAAAAACTACCAAAAGATAAAAATAGGGACTAACTTTAATGTGCTAACAGCTGAACAGGCAGAAGAAATTGCACCCTTTATTCTAGGGGGAAAAAACCTCAGCGAGGAATAAAATTGAATGTAAAATGAAAATGCCACAAATTATTGGAAACCTGAAATGGTTCACTCCTCAGACCTCACAGACAGATGCTGGGTGGTGAGCAGTAGAGGGGATGTGGGTGAATCTGCACTGTCATCGTCTTCCATGCTACTCATCGGCATAGAGAGCCTGGCATCAACTCAACATGGAGCTACGGCTGTGGTTGGCAGTAGCTCCTGTGATGATAACCTGTCTCTCTGGGTGCCCTTCCACTACTTTGGCAATTGTGATCTCCACCTCAGACATCTGATGGGTCTTTCTGATTCTGAGGCCTTGGTGCCCAATCATGCAGTATAATGTGGTCATGGTATAGCAAGGTACTGAATGTGGTCTGAGAGGTGCCTGCACACCCACCCAATGGCCATTCACCTCTCGAGGGCTGGAGTGATTATTCTTGAAACTGTCAAATCTGGCTACTTCAGCTAGACTAGGCCCCCAGAGTTATTCTCTCCTGGTCAGAGCTCAAGTACATGGAACAGCTGTGGGATTAACAAAGCTCACGCTGTCACTACTCTTAAATGTCTTTGTCCCGACTGCCTACCAATAGGACCAGATAGCTGGTTGGCTTTGACCACTGTGGGAGTGCCAGATCCTTAGGTGGGAGACTCTAATTAATGACTCCATATATCTGTTCGATACGCAGTATGGAAGACCAGTGACAGCATGGTTCATACCTGAACCTGTGCCCAGGCTGTCACAACAACTAGACAGACCATGAGCCTCTGGGTATCCAAGCATCTCAGCTGTCCTCTTTTAAATCAGTGATCACAGAAGAAGCTTTAAGGATGACATGAGAGTCCTGCCAGAGTCATGATTCTCCCGGGACAAGTCCACTATGAGATGTGATAAGTATACCTTCCTCTTCTGAGTATCTTCTTAACTGATTCTATTTACTCTAACTTTAAGCACTCAAGCAGTGTTCTTGGGAGTTTGGCTTCTTTAATTGGCCAAGGCCTTGTCTAGGTGGGGAGTGGGAACAATGAATAGGAAAGGAGCAGACCAACAGAAGTAGGCAGCAAAGCAAGCAGGTCCCTTGTGTTTAGACAGAGGAAAACCTAGAGCGTGAAGGAGAAGACAAAAGTTAAGGGAGTGAGACCTCCAGGACCCAAGGAGGGCAGGGGAGGACAAAAGTGGTGTGATAGTGGCTCAGCCTGCTGCTTCTGCTGCCCTTGTCGTAGGCTGTGAAGGTTTGGGGGAGAGTCAGAAGATGACCAGGAATCTCTCCTACCTAAATTATTCGAATACATGCACAATGTCAACCCTCATGCGCTTCCATTTGTATTTTTCTAAGCATGAGTTCCTAGTGGTACTTAAGTCCTTCAGTCAGTATACTCCTTTTTCCTTTCCACCACTCAACAAGATGACTTAAGAGGCCCCTATTCAGAAGGTAGGACTTTAACATGTGCTTATCTAATTGGTATATTCCCAAAATGTTCTAGGCCAAAAGTATGCATTGGATTAATGAGATTGTTTACTGTCAACCATTTTGTGCCATGTTCCCCGTAGACTCTGAAGGACTGTACAACTGTCCTTTAACAGCATCTTTATGAAAAGGATAAGGGAAAATTTTTCTATTTCTCGATAAAGGACCTCGAATATAGTTAGGGATATATTTTAGAAAAAAGTATAGGACTTTGAATATAGTTAGGCATATATTTTAGAAAAAAGTATAGTCAATGAATGCATTGAACTAAAGGTCATGTATACACAACTGGTAAAAAAAAATGTCTTAGAAAAGTTTAAACTCATACGTTCATTGCAATTGGCCCTTGGTCTTTTACCAAAACCTTCATGTTTTATAGGTTTGCTAAAGAATACATTGAGTGGTAGCTGAAAAATGTTTCCAATAGAAAAATGACTTTATTTTTTCTGTATAGCTGATATACAATAAGTTGATATTTTTTTGGGGTTATTATGTATGGTTGAGACAAGGCCATCAGAGATGCCTACTCAAGACCCGTAACTTTTTTGCACTGAACCAAATGACCAAACTTGTTTTTACATTTGACAATAACAAAAGAAAATGGAATATAAAGAATCATGCCTTCATCATCCAAATTCTCTCTACTACACTGATGAGAAGCATTTATTTAGCCTAGAGAAGATAATATTTGAAGACTAGAGATAGAAAAAAAAATTAAAGTCACTATTTTCTATCATGTATGATTCATATTATCTTTTTAATACCTTAAGATCAACTCTAAGATGAGCTTTAACCAAAGTAGTTGATGTGACTTGTTCACAATTTTAATTTTGTATATAAAATATGAAATAGCTTTTCAACATTTTCCTTCTGAAGTCTAAAGTAACTTAATTAACTTAAAAATGGTTTGATGACTGTAACATCAACTGTGGAATAGTAGAGTTCAGAAAGAATTTTTGCTAACTTCTCAGGCCTAGCTCAGGGATTTGGATAATAAATTTCATGGCAGAGTAAGCTACTACAGGACTTTCTGGCCATCTGTTTGTTGCATTTAAGTAATTTAATTTTCAGGAAATGAAACATTTGGTCAAATATAGGAAAGAATAGTGTCTATTCACACATTACAGATTGACGACATATCCATGGGGTGAATATAAGTTGTTTCGAAGACTCGGAGGAAATGCCATTTGGAGATCAAAAATTCTCCTGACTCAAATTGCAAAGAGCATTCTTATGTAATTAATGGAAACTAGTCACTAAAAGCAAAGGATTTTATAAAAGCAGCAATATTTTACAAAAACATTTAATTAAAAATTTTAGTTTATGCGTATCTTCTATTTTATGTTACTTTATTTTTTGGATTTGTATTAAGGAATATTTAATTTGTACTTATAATCTTTGATTCTAATAGTTTTGCTTTATTGTAAATCTAGCACTGCAAATTCATTCGATAGATTTAGCTGTGATCAATTAATGTCATGTATTCCCTTTCTTCTACCTTCAGGATTATTATACTCAAACATATGAGAGGTAGGAAAGAGAAAAATTAGAATCAATGTATCTTTTCAACAGGTTATTTAGGATTCAGCCTTAATGTGGGAACTTCTGACTACTTTTCTGTCAAACAACTAAGTGGTTTAGGTCATACTGGGACAGAAAGAAAGAAACTTCAAAGCGAGGAATCCAGGATCTAAATTCTAAATAGCATGCAGAGCAGAAAGAAGAATATACCACAGCACAGTGGTGCACAGCGATGGGGGTGGGGAAGAGAGGTGCCTTTCTCGGAGGCACAGCACCATGGCAACGGCTTTGTTGATTCTCATTCCCGGATTGAGGGATAAACATACCATCATTTCCTAAACACAGTCTCTTACAATTTATGCTTCATTTACTGGTCCTAGAAGTCATAATCACCTAATGCCTTATGAAACGGACACAGTGTGTAACAGTACCTTGATAGATGCTGAAAAGTCATCGTGTAGAGAGCGGATGATTATAAAAAGACTTGCGAAAGATAATACCCAAATTGATACAGTAAACTCAGCTATCTCTCCTAAATTCTCTCTTTAGTTTGATAAATGGGAATTTAAAGTAAGTGGCAGAAAAGAAAATTTCCTTTTGTGTTTCACCTAAAGGAGGTTACATAAGCTAAGTGTGAACTGCCACAAACTTGCACCTTCTAATTTGTCCTTCCCTGTCTTCCCTTGTGCTGTATTTTTAAACTTCAATGATGGCAGAGGTGCCTCTACTGTGAAGTCAACAGGTGAGGGCTGTGTTACACCATGTGAGAGCCCTCCTGATATAACATGAGGATGGAGATCATTTGGTTGTTGCATGTGAACGTATCCCTATTTCATGTTCCGTTGGCAAAAAGCCTACAATTTAAATAGGCTCATATTCTAGTGGTTATCTTTTTGGAGGTAGCATTTTTGGGGGAAATTTCATCTGTAAAATTTTAGAAATGCACATTGATAATAACCTAGAACCAAATAAAGCTAACATATACTGTCAGAGGAATAAATGCACCGATATTACTTCAGTAAGACC